GCGCATGCGCCGTGCGGTCGTGGTCGGCGGGGTGGGTGGGGGGGGGGGGGGGGGGTGTGGGGTGGGGCGGGGGGTGGGTGTGGGGGGGTTGGGCGGGGTCGGAGGGGGACGGGGGGGGCGGGGGGGGCGTGGGGGTGGGTGCGGGTGGGGGGGTGTGTGGGGGTGGGCGGGGTGGGGGGGGGGGGGGGGGGGGGGGGAGATACTTCGTACATACCTGTCCGCCCATGCCTTCCAGGTGCACAACTACCTAGCATATATCATGGTCAGGGTCAGAAGCGTGGTCTTACCAGGCTCCGCTGCGGGTGGACGACACCAAGCAAGGCTCGCCTCAGTTAGATGCATTCGATGGCCCATTTCGGACTCGTCAAAAGAGCCTCCTCTTGACGGTGTCAACATACCACGCATCATCGAGACAATTTCAACGGTCTGGACGTTTGGAATGCGGGGCTCTTCCCAAACAGCGGATTGTCATCCGTATCCAGATGTTCTTTCGTCAAAATGTCTCACACTCTCGTTATCTGGAAAGCCGAGCCCGGACGATGAAGGGACCAGGTAACGGCGGCTCTCGTCAGAAAAAAATAAACCATAAAAAAAAAAACCAACACGACGACGGAGCTGAGCTAGTAAGCGACCGATGACCGATGACCGATGGACCCATTATTCGATGGACGTGCCTGTATGTAACGCAACAAGGGTTGGAAGACGACACGAGACGAGACGAAAAAAGATATCCAGTGGTAACAAGAGGTCCAACACCAAAGAGAAGAAAAAGGCCGTGGCTGGAATCGACGCCGCTGTCCTCCGCTCGCCCCACGTCTCGTGGTGTTGGTGTTGGCAACATCAGTCCCACCCAAAGTCGAAAGAAGGCGAGAAGTGCAGTCGGCATCTCATCATGGGTGTGCCGATGCGCGATTTCCCAGGATGTTTTTGCGAGGATGCTTGAACAGACGAACGAGGCCCCGTCGGAAGACTGACTGATAACTGAGGTACGAAGTATTCGTAGTGTAGGGGTACTAGCAGAGGCGAGTAGGAGAGTGAAAGATGCACTGGCACTGGAGGAGACTGAGGAGGAGGAGAATGAGAGGAGGGGGTGCATGTACACAATACTGGCTCACACCCCCCTTCCCTCGTCTACGCCATCGCATCGTGCCACTCGCCTCCACGTGAAAACCACCGGTACGCGCACAAAACCTCAACGTTCAGCAGGCGGCGGGAAAAACACTGGGCAAGGTAGCCCTGCCAGCGCAGCGTGGCTCCAGTGGGGGGTCAGCAAGCCAACTCGTTCGGGTATAGGGCTATTGGCTCGTCCGCAGTGGAGAAGCAAGCGATTATGGGTTAGTGGACCAGGGGAGGGGGCCCGTTCAGGCTTGGGTCTCTCTTTCTCTCTCGGTCTCTCTCCTCCTCTCTCCTTGATCGCGCTCTCTCTCTGTCTCCCCCTCGGCTGAGTGCCCCTCTATCACCATGACCCAGATCCCGGCAGCAAGAGCAGCCAGAGCCAGCGTGGACGGGTAGAGGGGAGAGGGCGTCGCCGTAAAGAGGCCACAAGAGTAGCGGTGAAGAGGATGCTAAACCCAATTAGTAAAGCCATTATCATCTCCACCAACCTCGACCGAGCCGCCTCAACGCCACATTGTCGAGAGAAGACGTCAACCCGTGCCTCCAACCGATGCTTATAGTCAGTCGTCTGTTACGAACACAGGCTTGTCTCGGTGATTGAATGTTTGGGTGGATGGGTACAGAGTAGTGTCGGGGATATAACAGTCGCAAAGAGCGGGATGAGAGTCAGCCGGCACTTGGTCCTGGTTCAGTTGTAGAGACATGACTTGTGCCTCCACCGGCGTCGTTTTTTGTGCGTGGTAATTCGAGTCTGATCATGGCTTCCAGTACTCGCAATGAAAGACGCCATGATTTGGTACCTTGACCCTCGTGTGATTCTCGTGTTTGACAATGAAGTGCCCGTTTTGCGACGAGAGCCGCACAGGTGACTACGATGTCTACATAATAGTCGGCTTGGTGCATTCTTGTTCGAGCAGGCAACGGAAAGCAATTGCCCTACCCGTTGATGTAGCTGAAAAGAAAAAAAATATCATCGCTGACCATCTTTGGCATCAATCCCACGTCATGTCGCGCAGACCGTATGTTCCAGCCCCCCCCCTAGCTCCGGCCATGTTCCCATTGGACCAGCATCGTCGACGACGTGGAACAACCCATTGGAACGGTACGGGGACTGTCAGACCTCACCCAACGCCACGCCGCCTGACCTGGCTTCCTCACAGCTGCGGGAGGAACTCCTCGTGCTTCTCATGTAAGGCGGAAAACGGTCCGCTCATGCACGCTTATTGGCGAATGAGAGCAGCCAGAGACAAATTTCTAGCAATATGATTTGCATGACGGCTTCTCCCCTCAAGGAATCTGCTGCCGGCAGCCTCCACGTTGGCAGGGAAGCGTGGTCTGCGATGAAAGGTAATGCCTATTTGCTGTACACCAGAGCCGGTCCGGTTGGTAGGTATACCTACAGATATCGGAGGGCGAAGCTGAGAAATCCTTGCCAAGGTATAACGTTGTCCACATGCAATTAATGGGCAAATCTGCTCCGTCCAACGCTGAGAAGATGAGAGCTCGGCAGGCTCAGCAAATGGATTTTCCCGTCGAGTACGGAGCATGGAGGAGATTCTGCACGTTGAATTGCGGCCGGTTGAGCTGGCTGGCCAGGTTTGTCTGCGTCTCTGAGCAGATTGCGAGTTCAATTGCTGAACGCGTTGCCAGATTAGGTTAAGAGTTCCGGAACAGGTACTTCGAGCTTGCGGCGTGATCGTAGGCGTAGGTTCAAGTGCGTTGTTGTAGATGGATGGTGTGGCTGCCGTCGACGTGGATTGCTGTGATTCGCCCAAATTCGAAATGCTGGGACTCTCTCCTATACCAGCCAAAGAAGCGATGATGGCGCTGGACTGATAAGCCAATTTGCTGCAGGCCCCGGCCGGGTAGCCAAAAGGAACCAAAAAACCCCTTCCCAAAGGTACAGAGTACAGACTACACGTTCGCCATCAATGTATCCTCGCCTTCTGTGCCGTGTACTATGTATGCTACGTCCGTATGTAAGCTGAGGGATGGCAACAAACTTGACACAAATCATCAATTGCGTCGGGGAGATGGACTTTCGGAAATGAAATGCGCACCGACATATCGCAACTTCCCGCAGTCTTGTGCCGACCTGAATCTGCGTTGGACCCTTGGAACGAAAAATGTTATGTGCTGTGTGGGTTGAAGTATTGGACCAGTCAGTGGAAGCAAGTCCAATTCCCGAGACCCGAGTGTAGACAAAAACGACGGAACTTTCGCTGTATAAACGCGAAGTTTGTTGATCCGGGTCGCCCAAATCGGCGCGTCCTTATTCGATCAATTATTGCATTGCTTGGCGAAAGATGGCACATCACAGTTGCATTATTCCCTGCCACCATAGAAAGGCTGGAGAACATGAAGTATGGAGTAGGGATATGTCGTGATGGAAAGACGTTGACGACCGAATGATACGTACCCAGTACCTTGCAGAGAGAGAAAGAGAGTTGACGGGTAGGCTAATGTCGCTCGGAGGACGTATACCTACTCTCTTCCGCCAGACCACGGAAACCAGTGGGCTAGCCTCAAAAGCGGCAAGTGGTTCGCATGTAGGAAAGCGATGTGGAGGTACGGTAGGTATCTAGGTATACTACCTTACGGATAGATCGCAGCACGTTCTGCAGTGTGCTGCGCGAGTGGGAAGGCACCGCAATGGATACGGCTACTAATTACTGTCCACTCTGCAACTACCTGCCTAATTACGGTACCCGTCGCTGTAGAAGTAGGTTGTTGGTGAGGAGAGAAGCCTCTGGGGCGAGTCGAGTTGTGATTGATCCGGACAGTTTATATTCGGGATATGTTCCCGGGGTTCTGCGCCGAATTCTCAGTCTTCTCTTCTCAAGCATAGAGAAACCTTACTCAAGATCCGACGTTTATGTCTTTGTCTGTGTCTTCATGGTTGATGGTTTCGTGACGGAACACGACATCGGGCCCGCGGACCCGTCCTTCGCCGCGAATGGAGTCGGAATCCATGCTAGGTGCAAAGTTGAAAGGGAGTGGGGATCTTCTCAGCGAGCAACTCCCCATTTCCTCACGTAGCAAGAGAGGACCTTGAAGAGCATTAGTCGCGTGTGAGTGTGTGTGTGAGTGTGCCTCTCTACTCGTCTAGGAGGGCTCTTTCAGCGCTACCAATGTATCTCGGTACAAGCAAGAAAGCAAGGGCTGCTAGAGGACTGGGATGCTCTCCCCAAGCACTGAAACGCACCCCTCCCTCCTCAACGGTAGATAAAGTCGTTGATTGGCCATGTTTTAGAGATGCTTAGCCGCCTCGCAGCTGGGTCATGCAAGTGCTCAAGCCAACATCAGCATCACACCCTAACCCCTGTTGAATCTACCATCATTGGCATCCAGAATTTAAGATGTCTGCAGGGTCTGGACGACATGAGGACCAGGGGGGGTTCCGTCAGCTGCGGTGCTGATTGCTATCGGGCGCAATGCCACCATGCGGATACTGTGCCCCCAGACAGAGCATCCGTACATAAAGATGCTGGTGGAATCCCCACAGTCCTCGCTCACTGGACCGCATCTTGGCACAGGAAATAGTGTGCGAGAAGAACGACAATTCCGCTCCCCGGAAAGGAGTTTGCATTCACGAGCCAAGACGCAGTGGTCTGCATACCCTGTACAAACTACGTTGGTGCGAGCCCCGAGGCCAAGCTAAGAGAAGCCGCATGGGCGATGTTGATACGCCGTCGAGAAACCCTTTCGAGACGTCGTTGGGATTTCCTTTGCCAACTTCCAGCCGAATTGAGTGATTCTCACAAGACACATTGGCTTCGGAACGCCGCAACTCCTCGCATGCCGTGCCTCAAGCGCGGTGCAGTAGGACAGGAAGAAGAAAAAGAAGGTCTGCCATGTCGTAACCCGACTGATACCGAGTGCTCGTCGCAGCTCGTTTCGGCGCGCTGGATCCGATCGAGTAAGAGCCGAGAGCGTTCATGAACTTTCATGATGAAATTCGAACTGTAGGTGATAGTAGAAGAAGGTGCCTGAAGTTAGCTGGCTGGATCTGTCCGTCTTGCTGTGTCCAAGGGAAACGCGCGCCCCCCTCTTGGAGAATTTGACGCTGCAACGGTGGCATTTTCATCCAATCAACGGCCTTCAACTGCTGAGCAAAGGTGTTGATGTTATGTCTGACAGGTGGTCGAGGGGCCAGTGCGATGTCGAAGGACCTGCCACCACTAATTAAGGCTCGAACACGGTTGTCGCCGCCGCCCCCACTGCCGGGTCTCACCCCTCCCTCTCGAAGCTGTTGAAGTGAGACAGATACAGGGATTCAATGATGGAAACAAAGAGCTTTCTCAAGAAAGACCTGCAATGAAGGAAAGCCATTGAAAACATGGCTGGCTATGCCGTCCATGAGGCATGGATGGGAATCAACTGAGTGGGGTTGTTCTGAACGGCGACTCGTTGCTCTTCTCCCGAGTCCCGTTTACTCTTCTTTCGGATGAGACCACCACACGGCTGTGACACGTAGCGCCTCTGGCCAGTCTGGATCGGCCACGAAAGCGACAACCAAACGAGGAATAAACCGGCCACGCTGTCAAGCCCCAAAATCGCGGAAGTGGCGCTCACGACTTCCCAATGGCCAGGGTTCCAGCCAGCAATGACGATGGCCTCTGCGCACTGATGAAACCCAACTTGGCCAACGTTGGGATTTTGGCGCCCCAGCAGGCCGACGCTTATTCCGGCGTATCGCTTCAAGTTCAAAGAGGGAAATAGAACTACGAACTGTCCCGGAGTCGATAACGCTCGCCAGCGATACATGTGAGTAGTCATTGACTGCGCTTCTCTCTTTCAATGATGCCCGCAGTGGCTAAGCTATTGGATTGGCGAAAATCCCTACCAGGGTTGCAGACTCAAACGAAACAAGTCGGGGATTGGCTGCCTGTTTCCTCCCAACGGACCGATTTACGAGTCCTTGTATCCGTACGAAGTGTCCGTATTGTTGATGCTTTTCTGAGCAGGGTGGTGATCAGGGGCCAGGGGTCGGCCAGAGACCAGCGTCACCGACGACACTCCTGACTGGCTTTCGAGGTATTATCGAAACCAAATCCATGGTAAGCCGAAAACAACGGCTAACTGTGGTGCACGGCTGTGAGTTGAGTCCAGCATGAGGAACCGCCTCGATGACAACTCCAAGGAAGAGAATCATGGCGCTGCTAGAGAAGGCGATTTGGTGGCAGTGACCCTGCAAAGAGTGTCGGTACCTCATGTACGGGCCGCAGCGTACAGGACGGAATCTTGCATTGGATTGCACATGCCCCCCACACAAGCTTCTGCACCACACCGGGCTAGAAGCAACACCGGAACACACATCCATCGTCCCTCCTAATGCGGCCTGCCCCGCACCGGCGTGTCCCATTGCTGCGCGCCTTCGTGCCTGCGTGTGTCGGTCCTCATCATGTCTCTCCTTTTGAGAGAAAGATGTTCCTCTTTGGAAGTGCCCTTGGTCGCTGGGGAGACTTGAGATTGATCGCTGGATAACCCACACATCTCTTGTGCTTTCGTGGCACCTCCAATTTGCACCTAAGTCGGTCCGCAATGCAGATACATCGTATCCGATTCTTCCCAGCAGTTACCATGAGTTGAAGGGCAAGGCAATGCCTGAAGAGCCCCTGCTGCGGAAAGAGCGTCTAGTATACCACCCACATAGACGCAGCTGCATGCATTGCCCGACATGCACCCACGGGGATGAACGACCTCCACCTTGTCGCCTGTGTCGGAGATCTGAGCTCTCTCATTGATTCTTGTTGGACTTCCGACACGAACGCCGATCGCTTCGGGAGAGGCTCATCCCTGGAGATGAATGTGAGCGGTACCACTAGACACATGGCTCGTAATGAAAGAGTCTGCAAAATCCAGTAATGAGGAAGGATAGCTTAGAGGGTCTTGTCAGTCACATTCAGCCAGAGTGATACAAATTCTTGATCCCTTGATACGCAGTGTCTGGAAGTAGTCGAGATACTCGCGTGCGTTCAATCTTCAAACCGCATACGATGGGTAGAATGCCCTACTGCAATGCTTCGGCCGTCGTCCTTCTTCCACTGCAGGAAGCAGGGCATGAACTTTGTACGCCTTGACAGGCGGATGCGCGTTGCACTATCCAGCTCTTTTCATGTGCATTATCAGCGAGCAGAGTCATCAAAGTAGTAGCGTACCAAAAGCCCCCGCCAGCGTTGCGTCGGGAACGGCCGCCGAGGTTGCCAGGCTGAACATACGAGCTCGCAAGCCGTAGGCCGGACAAGAGAGTCGACGAAAAGGGCGTCGGATACCTTGACACTCGGGAGCCGTTACCAAGCCCAAAGTTTCCTCATCTGCAGGAATCTTGCCTTGCAGACTGGACCTTCGGAACATTTTTCCAAAGCGAAACAAATCACAGCCAGTGTGCCCGCCGTTGCAACCTATCTACGAATTTTGGAGCGAGCTGGCCGATTGGTAGATTGCTTCAACAATGATGCGGCTTAAGACTACTGCAAACGTGACGCTGCCAGGTCAGAGCAACTTGCGCTTATAGAGTTTGCAATCGAGGTGTCGCTGCCGCAGCCGCAGCCGCTGTGCACCATCACAGCCACAATCATCTCGGATACGGGGGTGATGAGAAGATAATCTTCCCAACACTGCGCAAGCAGAACAATTCTGGGAGTGGATGGCTTGAAGCGCCACCAGGAAGAAAGCTTCGAACCTCATAGTTATGCTCATATGCAGGTAGACCTGGGTAAGCAACGATGGGAACTCAATTCGATGAGCTGCTACAACGGTGTCAAAATCCGGCAATTGATCCAAGTTTCCAGCATCGCCTTGTTTGGCCTATTTGCTTTCATTGTGTACTGTGTGAGTCAAGTTGCCGGGTAGGCATTGGGGTGAAGGGCATCTTTAGCCATCTAGTCGTGGACTCGTGCCTCCTCACAGCCCTGCCAGACGCAGTGGAGGCTCTCGATGTCTGGCGTCTGGATCCTCCCCGAGCCCCGACTCGACCCTTGCCGCGGCCTTGGACTTGATCCAGATAGCAGACTCAACATGCCATTGGAGAATCATGGAGTTGTGGACCTCCGTGTGAGAGAAAAATCCTTGCCGAAGGATTTGATCTCTCTGAACATTACTAACGATGCCGTAAAAGAGGACGGGGGTACTAGTGGGAGATGATTCGAGAGTGGGGTGTTTGTGAGAGATTGTGTACATAGTTTCTGCCAAGACACTTTGGCAGGCAAGGCAGGGTGGTCAAGTCTTTCTCACTTTTTCATGGCCAATGGTCTCACTATCCAGATGATGCCTTTGGGGTTGCTTTCTTTTGTCCAAGCCATCCACTTCACCACGCGCAGCCGGGCCTACACATCACCTCGTTCGTGCTGTCGGCACTGGGAATACTTGAATCACTTCCGGTGGGTTAGATACGAAGTACGGACAATCAGGGTGGCTCTACGGCCGACTCTGTTCGGTCAAGCCAAATACAGTGGATCGCCAGGCAGTCCTGATTGGCTTTCTTTCATGAAGCGTCAGACCTGGTCCAGGCGCCAGAAGTCTCGACCTCGGATGGAGAGTGGGGGAGTGGAACTGAAGGAATGGGTAGGCTTGACGGTATTTCTTTTCCAGGTCTTGGCAGCCGTTGGTTGTCGTCGGCGGCGGTCGTCCGCAAGTATCCGTTGACCAGTGGTGGGTGTTTTCTGAGCCTAACCGTCTAACGACAATGTCTCGCCGGCCAAAGGCTAAGCCGGCATTCGCAACCAGCTTGTTGCTCCTTGGTCATCGCCATGGCGTGTACTATGGTATGGTCACGGGGGAGGAATGGATGGAAAGCTCGGGCACAACGGAGATCCGTGAGAACTAGCTGGGGCCTGAGGAGCAGGGCCGGGTAGGATGAACAAGGAGGCTGGGAGCGACCCGGCACCGGAGCTCTGGAGGTAACAGGTGCTTCCGTACCTGCACCCGGGACTCTGACAGGGTTGAGAGTAGTCCGCTCTCTTGGGTTTGGCCAGGACGGGACTCGAGCGTCCGGATGCGCCAAAATTGTGAGAGCGACCTCCAAGCCGGGAAACAGAGACAAGCTGGCCCACGCTGGGGAGGGCAAGCCGTTCGAGATTGACGCAGTTGAAGGTGCGTATCCGTAAGTGTTTTGCCGCGGAACTAGACAACGTTCATTCAGCTTTGCAGTTTGCGGATAGGTCCAAGTAAATTGAGACCAGAACTAATCTTGGGTGCGCCAGAACACGGTGCGTCTGTGTAACGGGGCGGCCCCGAGTGCGTTCCACGGGAAGCTCGGGAAGGCATCGAGCGAGGCTCCCCAATATGCCTGGCAGCTCTGGCAGTTGATCTTCATTTGAGTTGAGCCCTGTAACGCAAGCCTGCCTTGTTGCTTGCAGGGGACAATACTACGTAGACAGGTCGCTGCAAACATCCGAGGATGGAGTCTACATGGTAGGCGTCGGGTTAATGTACGGATAGACGGACTGCTGTAGAGTGAAGGGAGCCACGGTCGTCCAAATTTCTTGCACCAAAGTCGCGTACTTTGTAGACCGACCCATCTTTGGTTCGATTCTCTGGCAATCGATTCAAGTATGGCTGTTCTGGCTGGTCTGGCTGGTCTGGCCGTGGTTGTCGTTGTCGTTATGCAGAAGGCGCGTCTTGGACTGCTCGGGAGACGGACAGGCACAAGGTCTAGCTAATAAGCAGAAGAGCGTGGTGGCGTGCGATAGGCTGGAGAAGGGTCGGCAGCACGAGACAATGAAACGACGAGGAAAAAAGAAATGTGGTTGATGAACTGGCCGGCTGAATGCCAATGCTGTCGTTGTTACGGAGTACTCTCCCAGCCTGCAGCCCGCTCTACATTGTACAATGGTAGGATCAAGAAGCAGAGGGGTGGGCCACCCTGGTAAGCCTAGATTGTGTACGTATATGGAATTATCCCTCCCCTTCTCCCCTCCTCTCTCGGTGGGTGGTGGAGGAGCAGAGCAGGGCACTTGCTTGAAATGAAGGGAAGGGATCATACCTGGGGGAGTGCGATGCACGCGCAGCACCCAGCACCAAAGGTATCCTCGAGAGTCGAGGCGTTGACGGGCATCTGCTTACCACAGCGGGCTTCTTGTGATACTTCAACTACCCATGACAGGCAGGAGGTATAATCTGTGGTACTACCCTAGGAGGAACATGGTTTGCCGACGACTTCTTCCTGGGCTGGATGGACCCGGCGGTCGTCCATGTCACGAACGGAAACTGGAGCGAAATTGTAGACAAAACTGGCCTCGTTGTGAACCTGAGGCAAAGAATCTCATCACATCGGGTGCCGGGGAAGAAGGGTATGGACTGTGGACTTGCTAAAGACTCAAGGTTTCTTAGGTTCCTCAGGAAGCTGCCTCGAACCCGAGGTGGCCTTTTTGTGCTTTCCTGAAATATCCGTACACGTAACATAAGGAACCTTACACGGGAAGGAAGGCACCTTGGGTAGGTAGGTACCCCAGATACCTTACCTGATAGAGTCCTTGAGTGGATGATGGGTGACTTCCAAAAGTAGGTAAATGCTGACGATGCCCGAGGTGCCTTACATAACTAGAACACTGACGCTTATTGTAGTCTGATCACAGAAATATGTCGCAAGATGACGAGTTGTTGTTGTTGTCGTCGTGAAGTCAAGACGGTCAATCAACAAGAGGGATTCCAACGACAACCGCAAAATGTATACCTGCCTTCTCACTGTGTAGATAAGGTGGTAAGCGGGAAACTGAGGTATTAAGGACTCGGCTTTGTTTCTTACAAACCATTCATGGTTCTTCCTGCCCTGGCGTCCTCCACTTGTTGCTCCAAAGACCAATTTGGAAGTTGCAGTGCCCACCTGCCAGCCACCACCTTGCCGCGACCGCGATGGGGGTTCCTGCCCATCTGCACATGTTAGTTTTCTACACCCCAGTCGCCATCTACACTAGGTACTCCAGCTCCGCAAAGGGAGAGCAGGGCAAGGCAAAGCACATAGGGTTCGCAGCGGGGCTGGCGCGGAGAAGGCATACAATGTAGGTGCACTCAGTCAAGCCGGCAGGGGCCGCAAAGCAGGTCTGGTGGGGGGTCGAGAGAAGACAGAGGGCAAGCAAGCAATTGAGCAAGCAACACGACGCACGCCGCACGCCGCACGCCGCACGCCGCACACCGCATGCCGCATGCGAGAGACAGACGAGCAAAGCGGGTTTCCTGCGAGATGAGGAAACGCAAGGCAAGGCAAGACATCACAGGACTCGAGGACGCGACAAAACCCGCCGACCCAGACCTCATCAGACCAGCCAGTCAGCCTGATCCTTCCCCGTCGGCAAGCCGGCGACGACCTGGACGACGGACCTGTGGAGAGTCAGCACCTGTGCTCCATACGCTGCACTCCGTACGAATACATGGAGACATTGGAGAGGAACGACAGCAGCAGGGCCAGCCAAGATAGCGTTACAAGATCTGCCATTTGACATGCGCATGGCCCTCTGCCGCACAGTGCAGCATGTCTGTGCTCTCGAGCGTCGGGAACCCCAGCCAGCGCACTAAGATCAGAGATGCATCAAGCGGCAAGCCAACCCTTAACCCTTGGTCTACGTAGTACATTGTAAACGGACGATGGGGGGCGGGGGGGCATGGGAGGGCCGACTGCGGCATGGTCATATACCCAAGCCGGCCCAGAGTCGTTTTTAGGCTCGGCAATCGATAGCGAACGACCCTTTCCTGTGTCCTGGTTCGCTGCGCGCCGCGCTAAACTGACGGCGTTGTGCTTGGTGGCCAGCGGAAGCGTCGAGAAGACGACGATGCGCCATTGGCTTGCTTCTTCTTTTTCCTTCCTTCGCCCTCGTCTTTTGTTACCCCTTGCCTCGGGTCCGAAACTAGCAACGGTGCTTCTAGTAGGGCCATTGTTGTCAATCGTCTTCTATTGAGGCTCTCGCGTCCAGCCTTGAGCAATAGCCGCTTGCTACCCTCCCTTGGAGACACTGAGCCGCCTTAAGATGATGGCATTGGCCTCCAATAACATATGTGCCTTACCTTGCTGTCGGGTGCATTAAACTTTTCCCTCGAAGCAATGGACACCCGAACCCTACATGCGCTTACCGGATGACATGACATTTTTGCTGGAACGGCACTTTGCGACGGAACTCAAGTCCGGGACAAAACGGGCCCTGAAGATGCCGTACTCCATTGGCAGCTGCGGCGGAAACATTCAACATCCAAACGCACAGTCCACTGTCCGACGGCTTTCGAGGTTCGGTCGAACAACAAAGGTCACAACAATGACACGGCCAATGAGTCAAGGAGAAAGCAGAGGCAACGCCAAGTCCGAGGCCCAAGGCTCAGCAGATAAAAAGGACGGAACGAGGAGCACGGCCGGTGGAACACTGTGTCAACCAGCAGTTAAGCCCGCCTTGTTGCAGTGGTGTCAACCGCTATTGCCGCTGCGGCCCCCGTCTACATTGCTGAGCCGCTCGGGTCACCTTGCTAATTTGCCGGACCTCACTACAGCCTCTCATCTTGGTTTGACCATCCGGTCCGAGTGACGTGAGTTGAAGCCGGTATTGTTCGTTACTGAGGAAATGGATGTCCCGAAAGCTCAGGTCTAGGACTTGAAAATCAGTTTTCCATACTCTCGTCTTGACGAGGACGACTCAAGCGAGCTTTGGAGCTATGGCGGTGGTGCTTGGGGTAGCTGACAAGAGTGGTGGTCACTGCGCCGCTGGAGACTTGGAATCGCCAACCTCCGTCCACATGCCCGGGGCTGTGCCGGGAAGGGGGTTCAAGAGCGGTTCGAAAACAGCCAGCCTCGCCACTGAGACGAGAAGCCAACTACACATCGACGAGACAAGTCAGCCAGCGGACAGAGCCGACCGTTGCCTTCGGATTGGATTCTGGAGACGGAAAAGGGCTTCAAACTTTTTCAAACAAAAGCTGACAGTTTCTTGAGCCGTCATGCTTTGTGCGTTTGTGCAGAGAGGTACTCGAGACGCCACTCTTCAAATCACAAAAGGACGAGAAAGAAAAGACGAAGCAACGCGAGCATGAGCGCAGGGGCGACAATAGATAGAATCGAAATCAGTCTCTGGCCGTCGTCACCTCGGGCTGGCAAGCACAGATTGAAAGGCTCAAGATCGGATCCACTTCACTTCCTCCCATCTCTCTCGACTCGTCTCTCGCCCGGGGCCAGGCTTCGTCGATGTTCCGTCGGGAACCTCTATTGAAGTGAGGTACGGATACAGAGTGTCTGGTATTGATGCTTCTGCAAGTTACACACCGTCCATCCAGCGTTCCTCGCTCTCAGTTCGCCGGGGGATGAGTTGCTCTGGTCTCATCGACCCGTAGCGCGGGAACAGTAGGGTCGATGGAGGTTGTTTGGCCTGTTGCAGTCAACTTCCACGCCCCCATCTTTCTCAGTCGCAGTTGCGGTCGGGTGAGGTAGGATGTTCGCACAGATATTGGTACCTTATCTTGTGAGAGCCCTTGGACTTGCGGTAACCCCTAGGCCTAGCGGGCTGCCATACCAATGCAATGCCCTGGCATTATCTACAGTGGCCTGCGGGATTGCGTTTGACTGCGTAGTCTGGATGTCTGGATGGACATCCATCACCGCCAATACGCCAGCTCCTCCACGATGTCCGTCCGCTTCAGTGTGTCTAGGCCAGTGTGTTGAGTATTCCTTCTGAAAGGCCGACAGACCGACCGTGACAGACTGGGGCTTGAACTCAGGCCATGGGCCACCCCGGCCATGGGCAACAGACCCCTCCTGGTGTTACCCTACTCCAGCCACGCCCCTCGAGCGACTAGGCCCCGGGAAACAACAACGAAGCCCACGTTCAACGAGGTCCTCGACGCCTTTGCTCTTGTAGCACGCCCCCCTTCTCGATTCTTGCCGCTGCTCTTCCCTGCTATTTCGACCACCCTACACCCACCGAACGGCGACGGTTAGCTCAGCCTGGCGGTACCACCCTTCCAGGGCTCGGGTAGCTGGCTGAGAATACTCTCTGCGCCCCAGCCCGACCCAGTGGTCAAGGCCGAAGAAGAGACGAAAAAAAGTTGAGTGCCGGCGGGCGAGTCGCTTACCGATGCAGTGGCGGATCAAACTGACAGGGACAGACAGATGGAGTCGGAACTGTTATCGAGGGGAGAAACGACTTTTGGGGTGCGGACGCAGAAGCAGAGTAAAAAGGCCCGCTGCCAGCTAAGGTAAGGTACGGAAAGGCAATGTGAGGTGAGGTGATTTGCTGTTGAGGTTCCCACATGGATAGAGGAACGCAAGACAGGGCAAGACGCAGTAGCCGTACGGCTTGTTGGAAAAGAGGGAGGGAGAGGGAGGGAGAGAGAGAGAAAGAGAGAGGAGCTAGGCAATTGCGAACACACAAGGTACGAGTCAATAACCCCACTTTTCTCAGAGGCTTCTTGTTCTCCATCCAGAAGCTGAGGATAAGTCGACAGACTGGGGAGTATTGTCAGTTCCGTCCACACACGAGAAGCAGAGCCCACCTGGGATTTGGGGACGGGAAAAAGAAACGATAAACAGCAAAAGATACCAAGCCGTGTGAGCAGGAGACAGGGCCACACTACATAGACCCCGAAGAAGTTGTCGGTACCGACTACATTGCATACCACTGTGCACGTCCCATGGCCATCTAGACAGACGTTGTAAAATAGGCATACGAGCAAAAAGGAAGTAAACGCAAAGGGAGAAGTTGAACGAGCTGATGATGGTTGGGAACCAAGACAAGAAACACAGACAGTTGGTCCGTACCTTGGTTCTAGACACGAGACTTGACAATGAGCTCTCCCAGCTCGATATTGTCGACTGCGAGTGCAAATAGAATAGGTAGGTCGGCCCATGATTCTGCTCTGCTCGCTCCTTTGGAGAGCGTGTGCGCTGGCTGTATGAGTCTCTCTGTGTGCCGTGGGTGAGAGTGTGTGTGTGTGTGTGTATGTGTGTAGGTGTGTGTGCTTCATCGACCGAAGTAGCGGGATACTTCGCACCTCCACCTTTCACTCATCTGTCCGCCGATACCTTGCGGGAAGAAAACCCGGGTACGTACCCTTTTCGCCAGTCGTGGCTCTACTGCCCGTGGACTACCTTACGGTAGGTAACTCGGTCTTTTCCCACACCCCCCCTTCTCCGCTCACCATCCTCCTCCCATCCTCTCATCCCATTCAATTCCTCCCCCTCCCACTGGGTAGAAACCGCCCCGGTCTCCGTACCATGGTACTTTCGGCCTTATCCTCGCCCTCCAGCATGCTCGTCCTTCACCCTCCCCCAGGGGCCCCCTCATCTTCGACCCCCGGTCGGCCGGACTGTCCACTTAGCAGCAGCAATGAACGGTCAAACCCACCACTCTCTGAGCTCCTTGGGGGAGGGGGGCAGGCCCTTGGCCTGTGCCATTTCCAATCCAAGCCCGCCTACCCTGTCGAGCGCCGCTACCAGACTCCGTATCATCTGGCCGTGAGGTACCTCAGTCCTCGCCGCTATACTTGCCTTCCAACACCACACAACCTTGCGCCATATGGTACGGGTCAGGAAGACGAGGAGAGCGAGCGAGCGAGCGGGCGACAGATGGAGGAGAGAACCCTACCGCTCTTCTGCCTTCTGCCTCTCCGCATCTGCACCTCTCGCTCTGGAGTCTGCGCTCTGCTTCGACCTCTCGGTGCCCCATGGACCCTGCCCCATGCTCTCTTGAGCTCTGCCATGTCCGTACCGCTACCGCCGTACCACAACCAGCATCGAGCAAAGTGCGGATACCGCAGTACCCCAGTAAGGTACCTTTACTCTCAACCCGCACCTGCCTGCACCTTGCACTTGCGCCGGCCGGGGTGGGCGTGGACATGGGCGTGGGTGTGTGTGGTGTGTATTGTGGATGGATGGACTTCGACCTGCCTCCTCTTCTTTTCTCACCACCAAAAACAAAACCTTCCCACGCCCGTCTTCTTTCTTTTCTTTCTACCTCTCACGACTCCACCAACCACCTCCAATATTCCACCTAGGATAGCCAAAGAGGCGAGGACGGTAAGTTAGAACTTCTTTTACGCTTCCAATGCCTTCTCAACCTTCTTCTTCCTCCTCCTCACCTCAATCCGCCTAACCTCTACCTACGCTCTCATTCCTCTGCTGCACCTCCTCCTGCACACCCGCCCCCATCTTATACGCCAAACTCCCAGCTAATGTACCTGCATTAGAAGAGTTGGGTGAGTTCGACGAAGAAAAAAGAGAAGCAAAGATCAAGGACGACCAAGACGATCCACCTGCTCTCCACGAGTGTTTGTGTGCTGTGTCTGGTACCTGCCTGAATAGAGACCTCTATACAAACGGCCCTCCACCGCTTGTTACTCAGCCCCGATTTCTGAAGAAAAGGGCATTCCCTCGCTTCGCATCGTCACCATCCTCGGCTCCTTTCGTGCAACCCGTCTTGCAATCGAGGGAGACCCATCACAGTCTCCTCTTCTGCCACCTCGACAAACGGCTTCTCCATCGGTCAGCCTGCACCCACTGCTGCTGCCAATTCGACAAGACACAACTACCCACCCACCTACTGCCATCTACACCAACTCCAGATGCTACGAACATAGAAGCGTCTGATTTTAACGACTGTCTACGACGACCACGACCGTCCTGATCTGTTTCTTCTCAAAAAGATCATTGTGCTATACGGATTGTCCCGTTCCTACTCTTTTGCATCCTCACCGCTCGAAGCAATTGCAGTCTTTGCGCCGCCGAGCCTTGTCCGCTGCTCCCAATTGCTCTTGCTCCAAGCTTCTCTGGAAATTCAAGCCGGGATCACGACTAGACTCTTCGAAAGAGATTTCAGTCTCTTTCTGCACGTCTAAAATCCTCCAGCTACTGTAGTTCTGAGGTTCGCTAGGCGACCCGGACTTCACTAACCTCTGGTGTTTGGTGGTAGAACCTTCGGGGCAACAACCGTGAAGCTGGATTTACCGTCGATTTCTTCAGTGCAAACCCGGGGACCGACCGACGTGTCGTATTACAACGCTCACGCGGCTCAGAGGCCGTCGTACATGAACAGCGAGAGAGTGCCGTCTCTCCCATTACCTACTCTCCATCAGGCGTACTCGTCGGGTACCTCGTCACCCCGGGTCAGCTCCATTGGCTCCGTTTCGAGTTCTCACGCAGGCTCGCAGTCGTCCTTCACGTCGGCCGCATCCTCCAACGGACCCAAGACACCCTCTCCCACACTACCCATCAACGCGGCGATTCCTGGATCTTCAAACCAGTCAATTGGTGGATACGAGCATTACCCCGCCATGAATCAACCTGCGGCAGACATGTATTATTCGCAACATATCTCTGCCGGTCAAGCGCCACCGCCTCAGACCGTGACTTCCGGCGCAATGTCTTACCACTCCCAGCCACCGCCGTTACAGCCAAGCCATCTACCTCAGTATCAGCAGACTCAATATAGTCAGCCGTACGGCTATGCCAATGGCCTGACTTCGCCTCAAAGCGCTCCTGTAAACAACGGCATGGGTGGTCAGAACGTCCTGCCTCTCCCGGGTGTCAACACGGGAGGCTTCCAGGGTTTTGACACCACCGGCCAAGTCGCCCCGCCTGGCATGAAACCCAGAGTAACAGCCACTTTGTGGGAGGACGAAGGAAGCTTGTGCTTCCAGGTCGAGGCCCGGGGCATTTGCGTCGCGCGCCGCGAGGGTAGGTTCAACTGGCACAAAAAAAGGGTTGCCGAAGCATGCTAACAGGTTTACTAGACAATCACATGATCAACGGCACCAAGCTGTTGAATGTCGCGGGAATGACCCGCGGTCGCCGCGATGGAATTCTCAAGAGTGAGAAAGTGAGACACGTCGTCAAGATTGGCCCTATGCATCTGAAGGGTGTGTGGTAAGTTTCACGTATCCCCAGACGAACCCGCCGCCGTACACGGTCTAACGAGACAAAAACAGGATCCCTTTTGAGAGGGCTTTGGACTTCGCGAACAAGGAGAAGATCACCGAGCTGCTCTATCCTCTCTTCGTCCACAACATCGGCGCCTTGCTCTATCACCCTACGAATCAAACACGCACCAATCAAGTCATGGCTGCCGCTGAACGCCGCAAGGCAGAGCAGAGCCAGATGCGTGGTGCTCCCCAAAACGGCGGCCCCGGACTACCATCTATCCAACAGCACCATCACCATTCCATGGGCTTGCCTGGACCTCAGCAGCCTCTTCCATCTCATGCTAATATGGGACGTCCCACTCTCGACCGTGCCCACACGTTTCCTACCCCCCCAACTAGCGCTTCTAGCGTGATGGGTGGCAGCATGGGTGCCTCAGACAACGGATTCCAGTGGGCTCAATCCCAAGGAATGGGCAGCGCGCAACCCCAGAACCCGATGTCCATTGACACTGGTCTCAGCAATGCCCGCTCCATGCCTGCAACTCCTGCCTCGACACCACCCGGCTCCTCTATTCAGAACATGCAGTCGTACCAGACCGGCACGCAGCAATACGACAACTCGAGGGCCATGTACAACCAGTCTGCTCAGCAGTCCCCTTATCAAACCAGCCAGGGTTCGCAAGACCGCTCCGTATACGGGCAAAATGATTCGTACGCTAAGAACGACATGGGTCCTCCGTCAGCACGGCCCGCTGCCTCCAGCGCCTCTCAGGATCAGAAGCCTTCAAACGGCATCATGCACCCTGATCCAAATGCGCCTCAGCCTGCCGGTGAGGAAGAGGCAGACCACGAGCACGACGCTGAATACACGCACGACAGCGGTGCCTACGATGCTAACCGTGGATCATACAACTACTCCGCTCCTGCCGTCGGATCGCTTCCTACCGAACACCAACACCTTTCGCCTGAGATGACAGGCTCGCCTAGCCACCCTCCCGCATCTGGTCGTGCCACCCCCCGCACCGCCGCCGCGCCTCAGCCCTACTATTCCCAGCAAGCTGGCTACAGTACGCCCCCGCGTGTCGCTCAGCAATCTTCAAGCAATCTCTATAATGTAATGAGCAATGACCGCAATTCTGCAGCCGCCGGTGGCAACAATGTCTACCAGCCTCAGTCTGACATGAACTCCATGTCTAACGGGTATCCTTCCCAGATGAACGGCGCCTCGAGTGGGATCAAGCGTGGCCGTGATGACGACGACGACCTCCAGCGCCCGCTGAGCGGCGGCGGTATGGACTTGAAGCGGAGAAAGACGCTCATGAATTCAGCCGTTCCCACGTATGATACGATGGCACGCGCTCCTCCCGTAATGGCTCAGCAGCAAGGAAGGTAGTAGCGCCTTTCGGCCATACTATAACATCCCCAAACTTAGGTCACTTCATTAGTGGGCGTTGTGGCCACACCCGGTGCGAGGGATGATAACCATCTGATGATGATCTTGAAGTCTCTTACGAGAGGTTTCTTGACATTCTTTGCACACCAATTTCTTATTTGTCCTTTTATTCGCGAGACGACTTTTCGGCATCGAGGACCATTTGGAGACGACGCTGACGAGGTGACGACTTCTCATTCACTGTTTTTTAAACGCCCATCACGGCTGTAGATGCTGATGAATGACGCCTTGCATGGGGGAGGACGTAATCCTAAAGACTCGACCATTCTTCTTTTTCCGGAGCTTCGGGACAACATACACGAAAAGAGCACGGTGCGGTTTGAAACTACGGCCTGCTAACCCGTTATGACACTCGGGTAATGCGGCATGCGAACACCACATTGGAGGACGGACCATCAACATCACCAACATCTTTTTCTTTGCTTTGGTTTCGAATACAGTGGAGGATCATCTGGTACTGATATGTGCCAGGGATGGGGGAAAGGATGATGACCTTATGACGACCCTTGTTCCTTTCACAAAAGTGTGAGACGTGTGTTGGAAACTGTCTCTTTAGGTAATGACTTGATGAATGGAAATAAAAAAAGCTGCTGCTGCTTCAGAACTACAGAATCCAGCGACATTGCCTTGGTTGTGATTAAGAAGGATTCTTCCCGAATTTATGCTGATATGACAAGTAAAGTAGTCGAGACGACGCCAAGCACTGGAAATAAGGTTGAGCGACGATTGTGCTGGTGCAGGTACGAGAACGGCATAGATGTCGGTTTAACAAGCAGAGTATAGCTTTCATGTTGGCCATCTGACGTCTGACGCCTCCCGGCTCCTCAGTCTTTCACAAAAAAAAAAAGCCCGTAGTGGTGACTCGGAATTCGGAATGGGACTATGTATGATGAGAAAACCCCCTCCCCTCTGCCCCCATAACTACGTGAAAAGGGGTAGTACATACAGTTCAGGGAATCGCAAACCGGAAGCTAGGAGGATAAAGATATGGCTCAATACCCGTCGTACTTGGAGAGGTGTTATGGATAAATACGGACACTTCAAGAAATAGGATTTGGCCTGCGCTGTTAAGAAGATTAGGTCCAAGCATCGGCTGTGGCGGCCAGCATTTGAGTGCTGTAATACTATCCGTATGTAAGAAGGAGTCGGTGTCATCCTTCGAGCTCGGCTAAAACCCGGATCACAGAACAATCCACCAGCCCTGGTGCTAAGGCACCGTACCTTACCTCCCCTCACCCCAAGCGGTAGCTACGTACACGGTCGGTCGCGGTTTTTCGTCTGGCTAAGCTTAGCTCAGGAAATCTGCGGCTCAGCTAGAGCTTGCAGCTACAGTTCTATCTTCAACTCCCAATTTAATCTGCGGCACTCATTTTTTTCTCGATCGACCACCGAACCTGGAGACGAAATATTGGCATGCTCAATTGATGACCGTAAAGGTGTTGGCATAGTATTACGGTGCGACGGCATTCTTCTACGACTCCTACCTCCGAAATCAACCGACCGATTTGCAGCATGGCGACTCCGACGCAGATGAAGCATGCGGCTTCTCAACAGGGTAGAACCCCTTCGCAGCTTACAGCAGCGACCCCGCCGGTGTCGACGCCGTTCTCGGCATCGCAAGCGCATATAGCTTTCTCGCCGAGAGGACCTAAGTCGTCACCTCAGCAGTTTAAGAAATCGCCGGCGACCTCGACCACCCTGATGGGCCACCCAGCTAATGGCGCGCTGAACTTCGACAGCCCCTCTGCCGCAGCTGCTATGGGGGCGCTTGGGATCAGTGGCGGACTGGACATGGGACTAGACCATGCCGGGATCGCGGGATTTGGTGGCTTGGGGGCATTGGGCAGCGAGGACGACAAGCTCAAGAGGTTTGATGCTGTCATTGAGATTCTTGGAGTAAGTCAGGGCAATTTGTGACTCAAAGTGACTGGATGCTGATCAATATGTTTGTAGAAGGCAACAGGCCGAGTGAGTGAAGCCGGTCTCGAGCGACTTACGCTCCGAACAGGTCTTACCAGTATGTGGGACGAGCATCGGTCGCCCGACGGCAGGAAAACAAGAATGCTGGTCATTGCCGGACAGGCCTTGACGATTGATATCGAGCTGAACAACAACATCGTGGAGAATGTTTCGCTGGGCTTTCCGGAATCTGGCCCGATTGTCACAAGACACAAGGATCAGGCTGGCAACATCTTGCTCAAGGATCTGCAACTCCGCCCGGACCAGAGTCCGCTGACCAAGACTTTGAAAGCATTTTCTGCGAATCTTGAACGCCTGGCAACTCTCGACAAGCTGAGCGTCGTTCCGGGATTTGATTGCCAAGAAGCTCTAGCTGGCATCTTTGAGAGTCTTGAAAGACTCCACAAGTGGGAACTGTCGAAGCTGCGGGAGGATCCTGCCATGAGCGGCAAGCCCGAACGTTTCCTCGAAACGACTGTCATGTGCACCAAGAGCGGTCGTCCGAGGATGCACTCGAGGGGTATGGTGGGCCTAAGCATCGAGTATTGGACGGAGAGACGCCATGTCATTCCCAAAGCACCAGAGACGACGCGCTACTGCGAGAACATGGAGAAGGCCTGGTCGATTCTCATAGGCTGCAAGGCTTTAGATGGTGACATGTTCCCTCCCGTCCGGGTGTCTGAGGACTGGATCTCCCAAAAGGTCGAGAAGACCGAGCCTGGACCCGAGGATCTTCTTGTCGCAGCTTCTGGGCCGGCTCTTGATTGGCTGGAACCGGAGCCTACGACGCTGCCACAGACAGACGACAATAAGGATTCGGGCATCGACGTGGTGCAGGCGGATGGCACGACGCACAAGTACCCGAATGTCAAGTTTGTCGCGACACTCACCCCTTCAGTAATCGTGCCGCAGTCGGTATGGAACACACTACACACCCTCACAGGAGCCCAGGCTCAGCCCATGCCTCTGCCGACCTACACGTTTGATAGCATATCCTTCCCGATACCCGAAGGAAGCCACCATGACGCAAGCGAGCTCAGAGTTATTTCTTGCGAGAGAAGAGTTCCGATTCCGAGCGACGACAACGCCGTCTCGTCCCGGAAACACAAGAATACACTACTCATTTACAAACCTGTGTATGGACAGACAGTGACCGAACTGTCGTTCTCGCACCCGCGACAACTAGTCGCAATGCTACCCATCCTTCGCCAGTATGCACTAATCTCGACGTTACTAGAGAGGAGCTTCAGCTCTGATATCTCGGGCGAGACATTACCAGAAGTCCATGAAAACATTACGATGAGTGATACGAGGACGACGCAGGCCGAGTACGAGAGATTCATGTCCAAGAATTACGATGGTGACGAGCAGGAGCTTACCCTCGACGTGGTGCTGACGGTCCACCCCTCCGCTGGTCTGCATATAGTCTTTCCCTTCCGCAATGCAACGGCCAACGTAGACTTGCAAATTCAACATAATGGAGTGGTACACGTCGTGTCACAAAACATCGTGCCGGTCGACGGCAGCGACGCGGCGGAGACAGGTAAAGGCAAGGGCAAGCAGCTTACCCCGCAGGACTTGGGCAGGTTGCTCGAGGTGATGGAGGACCTCTGCTCCTGGGCAGAATGGATCCGAAAGAACCTGTCGTAAGCTGCTCTGCCGGATGGACGATCGATCCGATCGATGGAGGGGAAAGATGGATCAAAAGACCACGAACGTGGAGATGCATATGACGTCTGGACATGTTTTGGGTTTTTGTTTTGTTCTGTATAATTGATACCCAGGCGGGATCAACGGTGGCCCAAGTTGAACCCGTCATTTCTCGCGGACAAGGAACAGGGAAGCGAGCTTCAAGTATCTTCATGGTCACGGAACCTTTGGAAAGGGCAGGCAGGCTAGAGGGGGAAAAGAAACGATGCAGCTTCACGCAGGATTTGGGTTGGTTCGGTTCCGAGGCTTTGGGTCTTGGGTTTCTTTGGGTCGGTCGTATTTCGACGGCGGGGTTGGCTTCGCCCCTTGGTTAGGCCGCCCGACGTCAAGAGGATAGTGTTGGGCCCAAACAAAGGGAACGACGAAGAAACCAGCGCTTTGGTGTAATGGACCAGTTTAAAGTGGTTTGCCCACTTAGTCCTCAAGTCACCTCACACGAGATGCATGAAGAAGGGCTGAAAGAAGAAAAGGTTGATTAGAATGACGTTTGTTCTCTTAGTGCGCCGGTAGTGATGCCTGCGAGATCCCGAGTGGAGAGAGAGAGCCACAGGGCTTCCCGGCGGGAGTCCCTTAAGCGCGGGCTGCGGTGGTTGTTGTTATTGTTGTTCTTGGTGATCTGTTGACAGGGTCGACGGGTCTTGCTGCCTTACCGAGAGCCCTGCTGTGACGTTTGTTTTTTACACTAGTGCCGAAACCCCCCGGGTGGCCCTTTCCTCCCAATGGATTTACATGTTGGTTTGGCTCTGGGTGGGGCGATGATGATGGACTGGATGCCAGTGGTAAACTCTAGTTCGGATCGTCAAAGCCTTGCGAGACACTGCAAGACCCTTGATGATTTGGATGCAAGATTTGGTTACACTGTACGAGGTATGAGTGACATGGATGGGTGACGTTGAGTCAATATATCAGACTTGAGGGCAGGGCGAGGGGTAAGCTATCGTAGGATAGGGCGGGAAAAAAAAAATTAAGGGGGGATATTTGAGGAAACTGGGAGGGCTGGAAGAGTCGACAATTTCTATTTCGTTCCCTTTGACTTACAATGCAGGATCCTTTGCCTTGCTTACCCTATTGTAAGGAGAGTTGTAACCTCTCGTCCCGAAATACGGACTTACACTGAGAAGAGGTCGTCAAGACAAACAGGAAAAAAGATGAATACACACCCAAGAAGTCTCAATTGACCGGACCGGAGGAGAATTTGGAGATCAAAGAAGCAAGGCGGATGAGACGGGTGATCCGGGACGTTTCCTCGGGTGGCGGCGGCGCCGTCGACG